AGATATCAAATTAATTCAAAGCTTTATTACTAATAGAATTATAAATTCGACAATTACTTAGAAATTTATTATTGTACTGCACAGAATGGGCATTTTGTCATTATACAAAATTTTATTTATTTATTTAAGTTTTATTTAGAAAAGTTGAAAACATATGCGCACATGGCTTACATATAGTAGCAGATTGAGCAAATTTGTAATCAATAAACTGTCTATGATCTCATTATTAGAGAAATGAAATTGTCTAACAGTTGCTAAGGTATTCACAGTGTCCCTGTATAATTAATTATACATATTTTTACCAAATTTATAATGTTCTTTATTTAGTATTATGCTTTTAACAGTTAATAGTGCTTATAATAATATTTCTCATTTCTAGACACTTGTAAAAAATAACCAAAAAGCACATTATATGTCTATAAATAGTATTTGAATGTAGAAAAATGAACTAGTTATAATGATTTTTATACAATCAAAGTAAATAATATATTTCAAAAATAAAATGATATTTAATATACACATAATAACATTGATAATGATTTTCAAATTCGTACCTCAACACAACTTTTCAAGGAGCAATAAGTAAAAAAATATAAACTATACTTAATTATTAATTTTCAGTTTTTAATGTTTGAGGTGTTTTAAATTTGCTTATTATATTACTTGCTTTGCAAATCAAAGATATAATCTTGTGCTGCATTTATTTTTAAATAAAATATTCCTATTTTAAATCAACTTGTACATAGAAACACATATCATTAATCTTAAATACACATGTAAAATTATTTTTGAAATGTCAATGTACATTGTATATAGAAATCATTATATAGCTATAAATTATTTATTTAAATGTAAGTTGCACATAATACTTAAAACATTTAACAAAGTTAAAAGGATTAAAGAACGATAACACGTTTAAATGTGTTAGATCGCATGGATATATTAGTTCTATAATATACGAAGAAAGTTATAGTAAACATGATTTTACTAACCCAAATAAGACTGCTTTTTTAGTTGATTTATATTTAAAATTTAAATTTCATTCATTTTGGTAACTGTTGCAAATGCATAACTAATTCAAGAAACATGTATGTTAATCCTCATCTACTAATATGAGAATACAACATTCAATTGGCATTTAATATCAAACTGTCTTTCAGAAACAACATTTATATTATCTGTTAACAGACATGAATTTCATAACAATTGCTCACTATTTATTAAAAGATATTTGTATGAAAGAACAACAAAAATATTCTAACACTACTCTTAGAAAACATATCAGTACATCACTGGCAAATCAAAAAATAAGCAAAAGAAAATGTATTAAAATATAAATGCTTCAAAATGAATTGTAATTATTTTAGAAACATATAAATGTATCGTGTATGTTATTATTATGATATATTTATTTATATTATTATTTGCATACTTATATAGTAATCTCGAAACTTGCCCAGCAACAGTGTAGTAATATTTTTACAACAAATACTTTTAGAGTTATATAAAAAAAAAATATAACTTTAAACAAAATGAACTTTAAGTTTATTTACTTTTATGTGAATGTTATGTAAATCTAACTAGAAACTTTTTAATTTTTAAAAAATTTAAATGTATAGAATTTTAAAAATATTAATAACTATATTACATTTTTAAAAATTGTACAATGCTCTGTACAATGATCTGCAAATAAATTAACAAATAACTGTTTCGAAAGAAAGATTGATATGATTAAATGAGACAATAATAAACTACGTTAAAATATTCTTTCTTCAAATAAATATCATTAAATATAAATATAACATTTGTACATTTATATAGATCACAGTACACTGTACCATAATGTTATTTAATTTTATATTACTGTGCAGAATTGCAATAAAATCTTTCACTAACTGATTAGATGTAAAAATACAAATATTATTAACAAGTTTCTATTAATTTTCATTATGATAATATCTATAGAAAGTACTCAAATTATATAAAATTCAAATTATAAAAGAATACGAAAATTTGCAAATTTGTAATATGATAATTTACGTTGTTAATTAAGATAATAATAAAATATTTAACATAAAAGGTTATGTTAATCTTTTCTTTTGTTATAAGCAGAAATTTTTAACTACCTAACATTATAACTTATATTTTTTTTACAGCAAATATAAATATTAACTACAAATTACTGCAGAATATACATATATGTATATATACACATTTATAATCAAAAAAATTTTGTATGTCAAATTATAGTGCTATTTTAAATGTTATATTTGGACTAGTAACATTTATATTCTAATTACATTAATTACTTCATAAGTTTGATTTTAATGTATTTACCCACCATTTAATCAGTAAAGAATTTGTGTTTTTAATTTTAATATTTGCATATATATTTATTCTAATAAATTAAAAACAAAGTATGTATACACAACTACCTGTCACGACAGAATGTATTTATTGAAAGATAAGATTTTGTTTATTCTGCACATGTTGACTCTGATTAGCTATAATACTTTTGGTAACTAATAAGAACACGCATGTGCAATTGCGACATGCATGACACCGAACGCATATACTCAGTCATCTCTTATTTCATATATTCCTTTACTTTCTGTATCATCGCTTCTTTTAGCAATTCATAAATTTTTGTTCACCGTATGTATAGTTGTAAAGCAAGAAGTAAGCAGTAAATCGGCACTTGGCTAGGGATAAATAACACTCTGAATTTAACTGAGATGCGCAAAAGAAATACATTCTTTCGGAATAAGAACTAAAAATTTATAATCGGAATTTGGGAAAGAAAATTTTCAATTTGAGACCTAGGGATTTTTACATTGTGTCAACACTTGTTAAAGTCATTATAAATCAAATAATTGTTGAGGCGGCACAGTGTTCGATATTTTGAAGAGTTTAATTTCTTTTTTTTGTGTTCGTCTATTAATAAAAAGGTACAGATACACTTTCTGGTGAAGGATGTCCGGGGATGTACAAACAAGAAAACGAAAAGAGAAGAAACGTAAAAAGGGTAAAAAAGTAGACTATTGGAAGTGTGCGAAAAATATTATAATTTTAAATCTCAGATCGCAAATATTTTTTACAATGTTTACTTTGTTTCGAACATAAATGTTTTTCCTATAATCGTACGAAGATCTAATTAAAAAAAGTATAAATAGAAATCCATTTTTAATTTTTATTTTTTTAAATAATATATATATTATAATTTTGATCCTTTGCTTACGTTTTCAAACAATGTAAAACAACTAATAAATTTTTTACTTACAACGTTATATGTGTAACGCATTGTTTATGAATTATTAATCTCATAATTAAAATTTTTTATTTCATTTTAATTTCATAAAATTTTTTATTTTTAACATTGCGACCATTAATTATAATTTAACACACAAATTTGATTGATATATTTATTAGCGTGTTATTTTTGTATGAACTTACTACTGTTATATCATACGTTGTCATAATACCACGAATTATTAATTTTTAAAATCGTATTTAAATACGATAATGTAATATTCAATGTTTGTATCACATTATATACGCTGTAAAATAATTAAATTCTATTAATAGATATTTTAATATCTCATTTTTTTATTATAAAATTGTACAAATATGTGCTCCTATTTTTAAATACACATTAAACTTTGCTTAAAAAATGCGACACGCATTCATATATAATACTTTGCGAAAACATTTTATTCCCGTTTATTGTCACGTCAAGTACGAATATTTCGGATATTTTAAGGCATATTTAGCAATGTTGCTCGAATTAGAAAATATAAGGTCTTAGAAACTTGATCAGCCTTGCTTTTGGCTTTCAAAAATAGATCAACTTGTATTATCTATTTCACAAACATTTTCCGTTAATTTATTTATATAATTTATATATTTTTTAAATATAGAAATTGTATATTAATGCATAAAAATATTCTACTTTAAAAAAGAGAAATGTTATACTTAAATATTTGTTATCTTACGTGTAAAATCGTATGTTTTAATAATTTTACCGAAAATTAGTGCGATTTTACTTTGACATATTTTGTAATAAAATTTGTAGGCATACCAAACTACAGAAAATTATGCATGTTGTAATTATTTATATATTCATATTCAGATGAGGAAGACAATGTCATACCCTCCACCCCTGCGCCAACTGTCTCCGAAAATATAACAGACAATATAACTTTGCACATTTATAAAGAGAGCAGTACCGGCGGACATTGGTGTGTTCGCATTATATTTTTTGTAATATTGGCAATACTTGTTGCTTTAATTGGTATCATCATCTTGGAGCATAGGGGTGAAACAGATAGTAAGTAAACTTCAAATTAATTTCAATACTGGCGATATATTATATTTATACAAAATAATGTATGTTATAAGCTGATACACCATTGGAATCATCGCGTTGGGCCTTTATTTTCGATGGCTGGGTGGATGATTCTTTATCTTTATATGATAAAGAGGAGAGCGATGAAAAACATGAAAGTGAGAAACATGTGGAAGAACACGATCATAATATAGAAGAAAAGGATGCTGATACCGAAGAAGAAGAACATGAAGAAGAAAGCGAAGAAGTAGATAAAGATGAGGCAGATGAAGATGGAGAAGAAGAAGAAGAAGAAGAAGAAGAAGATGAAGTAGGTGAACAGGAAGATGAGGAGGAGGGCGAAGAGGAGGGTGAGGAGGAGGGAGAGGAGGGGGCAGAAAGTGAGGAAGGCATGGAGGAGGAGGGGGAGGAGGAAATAGCAGCTGAAAATGAAGAAGAAAATAATGATTCCGAAGATAAAGAAGGTATTAAATTGTAAATTACATAATATATACAAGAGTATGAATGTAGTACATTGTCATTGTTTTTCACTATACAGAAATAGAATGGCAATATGAGAATGAAAAATCTAATGAAGAAGAAGAAGCAGAGGAAGAAGAAGAAGAAATAAATCCACAAAGTTTTGATGAAACTGATGTACTGGAAGAAATTTATGGTATTAGTAAAGAAAGAAATTCGGATGAGAAAGATATGATATCTGAGGAAGATAACCAGTTTGATGATCCATTAGAAATGCCAACAAAAGAAGATGTATATGAGAGGTTTTTAGACATTCCTGGTATTAATGAAATTACTGATGATAATATAGAACCTTTAGAGGAGGTAAAACTAATGACAACTACAAACTATGGTCAAAAAAATTTCATTAAACAATTGTTCTTATTTGTTCTAATGTAACTTTATAATAAAATTACTTTATTTCTTATTTATTTACTAAAAATTAATCAATGTCAAATCATTTTATAATTATGCATTTAAAGTTTTTATATGACTTAACTGCTTTTTGAGTTATAGCATTTCACTATATGTTCATTTTTATATTAGGTAGAAAATGTAGAAGTTGAAGAGTTTGTTAATGATGTAGATATTAAACCAGAAGAAGAAGAGGAAATTGAAGAAGAATCTGCTAGTGGTGAGTGAAAACTGATGTATACTGTATTTCTTCAATGTACAGTGATCCTCCATGCTCTTGTAAATCTTACTTATTGTAACATGAATGTTAGAATACTTATATCACTTAAATATAGCTCTAAAGGTGAATGAGAAAACATTTCATGGTTACAGTGACAATGAAGTTTGGAGTTGGTGTAGCACTTGTTGTTGCTGCACATTTTGTCCTTGTGAAACGATGGAACCATGGTAAATGTTAAAACACTTTTGTTTTATAAATAGCATCATAATCATTACTATTTTCATATATCATAATAATAAATCATACTATCAACAATGTAATATACATGTATTCAAGTGCATGCATATTAAACAAGTCTTGAAATTTTATCTTCTTCAAAAGGAAATGTTCTATGAAAAGTCAAAATTAGAAGAAATAATTTACATTATAATTCATCAAACTCATAAATTGATTAATCTTCTGCTTTTTTTTTTGGTGTTTAGACGTTAACTTTGTTGAAAATGAGTCTAAAATAATTGAGTCTGAAAAAAGAGATAAAGAAGATAACATACTTTTAACAGTAAAAAGGATATCAGAAATAGAAAAGGATGAAAAACAGAACAAAGAAAAACTTAAAAAGGAAGAAGAAATCATAGAAAGAAAGAAAGTTGAGAAGGAACCAGAAAAAGAAGAAGTAGAGGAAGAGGAGGAGGAAGAAGAAGAAGAATATGAAGAGGAAGAATATGAGGAAGAGGAAGATGAGGATGAGGAAAAGGAGATAATAAGAAAAGATGTAAAAGAGAAAACAAAGGAATATAAGAGAAGTATAAAACCAGAGAATGAAGAGGAGATAGAAATTGAATCAAATCAGCAGCAGGAATATGGTACAGAGGAGGAAGAGATAGAATCAGAGGTGGAAGAAGAAGAAGAAGAAGAAGAGGAGGAGGAGGAAGAGGAGGAGGAGGAGGAGGAGGAGGAAGAGGAGGAGGAGGAAAATTTTGATGATTCTGAATTGATTGCTAAACTTGAAGCTAAATATGGAAAGCTAGAACCTAAATAGCATATTGAAGAGAACCAAAAATATGTTAGTTTGTTGTGATATTTTGAAATATACAGTGTATGTAAAGTATGTAAAAGTAAATGATAAAAGTAATTTCTATTGGTGCAAAAAGAAAAATAAACAGGACTTTATATATAATTAATAATAATAGTAACCAAAGATTTGATAATAAAAATTGAATGACTCTTAACGAGCATGGAGGATCTATTAATTTTATACAGCTTTATGTAAACAAAGTACGTAGCAAGTGTGTGTATATATATAATTAATTAAGTGCAGTTTTTTACGTACAGAGTCAGTGGATACAGTAGCAGGACTTACAATCAAAACAAAAGTTAATGATAAAATAAAAGCAGACCATGTAGATAACAAAAATGACATTAAAATGTATAATGTTAATGTATCAAACATTGAAAATATGTCAAATCAAAAGAATGATGATTCCAATAAGGTCAGTGACAGTTCTAAAAATAATTTTAACAAATAAAAGTAGTTACCTATATATTTATTATGTTCCTATATACTCCGTTTTGTTATGAATAAATATTTAATTTAAGTATAAATATATAATGTATATATTTCTTTTTAGGGAACAAAATAATTAAGTTTGCTTTTCTCTATGCCTATGTTATAATTATATACAACCACTGTTTTTTAACATTCATTTCATTGCATCTGTTTATTCGTTAATTATTTCAGATTAGCTGTTTAAAATTTGAAGAAATATATTCATTTGCGTTATAAAAAAAAATGATGCTATCGTTAAAACTGTCAATGTATTTTATAATTTTTTAAATTAATTATAATATTTAACATAATTACATATTTTAATGAAAGTTTTTTATTTATAAAGTTTTTTATTTTGTAATGTTTTCATGCAAAAGGTTCTTAAACTAATTAAAGCTCATTATTATATTTAATTTTATAGTTAAACATTTCACCATGATATAATAATACAAATAAAGACGCTGTTTTATCTCAGTTTCATATCTGTACAATATTTTAATAATTTCCAATGCAATTATATGCTAATAATAGAGTACAATTCAATTTACACGTATAAACAAAATCCTTATGCTTGTAACAATTACAAATTTCATCGGTAAATTCTTTTCATATATTTGTTGTATGCAAGTATGCACAGAAGAAACAAATTAGGTTATAAGAAATTCTAAAACAAAAAGGAAATATCGGAGTATTTATAAACCAGATAAAAATATTTCACAATATTGAATACTTAATTAGTACTGCATTAATTCATTTCTTTATAACAATAATATTATCTGATAATCCTATTGAAATGTACGTATTACAAGATCAATAGATTCATTATTTTCTAACGATATAAAGAATACGATGTAAAATAACTTAATATTTATGTTTATGTCTATGTTTGCGTGACGATGGAGAAGGCGGACTATTAGCTCTATGCTTTGAGGTACGTGGTGGAGGTGGTGGAGATAACGATGGCGACCTTGCTCTTCTCTTTCTATCGCTTCGTTCACTAATTGGAGATCTCCGAGATACTCTAGATGAAAAAGAAGGCGATGGGGTTCGTCGGATACGTGGTGGTGATGGTGTGACTGGAACTCTTTTTTTGTATGGAGATCGTGATCTACGTTTACCACGTGGTGATCTGCTACGGGATCTAAAAACATGTATCTTATATATTCTTGAAATGTAAATAATAGAACTATACGTTATACTAAATACTATCTGAACAGTAGCAAGATTTTATTAGAATCATACGAGGCTTCATTAAAGGTCTGATATCAAAGTCTTTTATATCAGAATATTTCAGCATCATGCATGAAGGTATATAATAGCTTTAAACGTATATTCGAATGCAGATTCCCAAAGTGTGAATTGTGAGCAGACTTCTGGGTAGGTCGCATTATATATTAAAATATAAAAAATTTAAGAATAGTAAAGGGATATTTTTTATTCAACTCCCTTTTTTTAAAAAAAATATGTAATATATACAAAAAAACTATATTTACCGATATCTATTGCTTTTAGACGATGGACTCGTTGAGGTACGTCTTCGATCTCTATAATGACTTGGAGATTCTGGAGTTGTGCTTCGTTTCTTTTCTCTTCGCCTGTCGTCATCACGCTCCTCACTTTTTGCATCTTTCAGTTCTCTCTCGCTCTATAACAAAATTTTTCATTCTAGATTTTTTTAGTTTAGGACACTTTTAAATAACAAAAAAGTATCACCTTTCTTATTAGTTTTTTTCTATAATGTTCTACCTGTCCTTGAATTGTCATTCCAGATTTCAATGCCCTTCTGCCGCTTTCTAATTCATCTTGATATTGCATTATCTTAACCTCAATTTCACGAAGTCTACTTCTTCTTTCTTCGTTATAATCTCTACCGCTATGAAATCAAATAAATAGATAATGAACTACATTTCATATAATTCAAGAATTTGCATCATTACCTTGAATCCATACTAGTATCTTGAGAATTTGAATCATCATTCTGACCTAACTCTTCCCATTTACTAGTTGTCATAGCTTGTGCTTCAACCTAACGGAAGAACACTATTATTTGAGAAAACAGAAGAATGCATATATAGCAGTTAGAAAATAATTATTTCAACCTGATCAGGATCAACAGTTTCCCAACGTGATGGTACAAAACCTGCAGGGATTGATGGTTTCTTTTCATCCTCCTTATTTCGCAAGCTCGAAGAATCATCTTCATCCATTGGAATACCATCTATATCTTCATCCACTGTAAACATGAACATACAAAATACATGTAAAATGCCATAATAAATTTTATATTTAATGCAAAACATTCTTACTAGGAACTCCATCAATGTCGTCATAATTGGATGTTGTTTGTGGTGTTAAACCATGTTTCATGGCGCCTTTAAGTAAAGCGGCTCCGTCTAATGGTACTCCATCCAAATCTTCTCCGCCGTCACCATCTACATCCGATAAAGGTGCTCCATCGATGTCTTCATCATTTTCTTGTTCAGGTTCATCTACCTAAAACAATTGAATCATTTTGCTTTAATATTTAATACCTTAAATGAGAAAAAAGTTATGAAATGGAAAGTCAAATTTACCAGAACAAGACCAAGAAAAGTATTTTGTAATTTAACGAGAAAATCTCGCGGATAAACTGCCCAATCTTCCCATGCCCTAAACATTCTCATTACACGCACTTTAAATCCTTCAGCTTTTAATCTACTATCAAACTGTTTGTAAGCTTGATGAACTTCATTAAATATATCCAAAAGTCTGGTTTCAAACCTATTTCACAAGCACATTAATACAAACCGCATTAAATACACTTAGAATTGAATATATTTCAAAATAACTTACGCTTTTCGATAAATAGTAGCATTATTCACTTTAACACCACAATTATGTAATATATCAGATATAAGATATAATCTCGCAATTTTCTTATTAACAGGTGTTTGTAATATCGACAATGACTCTGAAATGCAATCACAAATTTCTTCCGCTGCTTCAGCATGTTCTATACAAAATACCATGGCTTCTGCTACTTTTATCCTTTCAGGCGATATGTTTCGCAATAAATCTTCTAATCGATCTCGTTGACTATAAGGAAATATTTTTGAAAATTTGGACAATGCTGAATTAAATTGATGAAATATTAACGTTCATTCGTAACACCTGTTGGACAAACTTCCTCTTCTCGGTTCTTGTCTTTCCTCCATCTCAATTAATTCATCAGGCATTCCCTGAGTCCATGGATTAATAGGTGGTGGTCTCCACACACTGCCCCCTTTAAACATTCTAAAATCTTCAGTACGCCATTCTTTTTGTCCATCGCCTTGTAATATGGAATACAATTTCCATCGATAGTAGATATGTGCAGGAGAATAATTTTCAAATAAAAATCTAGAATACAAAGATTATTATTGGAATTCGTTCTGACATTCATTCATTTGTTAAATGAATAATATATTTGAAAAGAACTAAAATTAAAACAAACCTAAACATTGGATTGTTTAGTTCTCTATTCATTATCATTGCTTCAAACATTGGACCCTCTCGAATTACAAATTCTACCATTCTGTGTATTAACATAACCAGATTTCTGCAACAATTTTTATAATCATTTAACATATATTCTGTAAAGTATGGCGATGACAATTAAAATTACTGCACCTTTCTGTTGGTATAACCACTTTAACAACAGCATTCTGTAAAATCTGTAATAATTTGCATTATTAAATTTTGCTTACACAATACACTTAGAATCATGTTTTATTAATACAAACTTTTACCTTCTCAAAGTTTTCCTTTTCCTTAGGATCAGCTGACTGTAGATTACGAATACGAGGTACCTGAGATGATATTAAAAAAATATATGTGTAACTTACTCAAATTTTGTATAAACAAGTTTCTCGTGTACCTTATGTCTGTCACGACGGTGCGGTTGAGCATTAAATGGAAGACCAGATGGAGGCGGTGGCTGCGTAATTTCCATCAAAGCAGGTGGAATATAAATGGGATAAGGGGGAATGGGAACACTTTTTCCCCAGCCTAATTTCATCTCATACTGCATTATATCACGACCTGTTTCATCATAGTATGACAGAAATGATAATGTTCTCAAAATATATTCTGCAATTTTTAAAACACTTTAACCACTTTCTTACCGTTTAAATTTTTTAAAGCTCGTTCTCCGTCTTTACGGCTCATGAATGCAACAAAGCCACAATTTCTTTGCCTAGCTTTCTCTTCATCGCTACGTGGCCACATAATTTTGATACTAGCTAATGGCCCATACTTTCCAAATATTTCCATTAATTGTTGTTCTGTAATCTATTACCAATATTCAAGACAATCTGATTAGGTATAATACTCTGTACATTTAATACAATCATATATAAGCATTTAAAATTAATTTGTACCTTTGGGTTTAAATTTCCCAAATACAGATTAGTTGTATTAGGATCACCATTATCAAATGATCCATCTACAAAAGACAATGTTTTTATATTTACAATGTAACATTAATATTAGGTAAATCAGCAGTGAACACTAGTAAAAAGGGCACTGTTTACCCTCATACATCAGGGCTAGGAATCGTGGATCATCAATAAGGTTACACAGATTAATTTTTCGTGGATCGGGATATGAGGATGTGCCACCTAACATAGTTTGATTTTAAGAATAAGAACTAATTGACTCTTTATACAATTCATAATTTAGCTACTGTAATGGAGGAAAATTATATTTAATAACCTCAATGTTGAAAATTTGTTACCTTCAACACATTTTAGAGCCGCTAACATTGGATCTTCTGATTGGGTAGAAATAACAGTTTTCACAACACCTTTATATTTATGACGTTCTTCTCTTTCTTCCTGAATCATTTTTAACTCTTCTTTAAATAATTCAAGATTACTTTTCTTCTTTTCACTTTCTTTTTTCTTTTTCCCCAATCTATCCAATTTTCTTTCATTTGATCCCAATAGCCTTGCATATTCTTGAGCTTGTTCAGCTGATGACCTGTTATCAACAAGCTCCGATATCTTTGACTGAGGCTTATAAAGTTTCCCCTTTTCCCTTGTATCTTCCTCTGTTAAAAAATATTCACGAAGCAAAAGTAAATATATGTTCAATAACCTAAAGTAATATAATAAGATTCTTACGTCGTTTTCCTGCATCATAAGTGCCTGCTTTTACCCAAACTTTGCTTGTTGTTTTATTAGGTGTTTCTTGAAAAGTGGCTACAAATTCTTCAAAAGCCTATGTACACAATACAAATTCATATATTACTAGCATTTATATACATAGTTCACACTATACATATCATGTTCTACACAATTTATTTTTAACTTATTACACATTACATACTTGAGCTGCAGCCTGTTCTTGTTCTTTTTTACGTTGTTCTTCTAATTCTTTTTTACTTAATGGTCTCTTACCCATTGTGCCAATAGAAAATGCTTTAAGCTTTTGTTCTGCAATTTGCTATATATTTGAAATAATTACTATTTGAAGCGATCATCAGATAAAAGTATCAAACTTCAGTTAAATCATAAGATAAATGTATATAATTATACCTTCATAATAGCTTTATCTGCCATTTGTAAATAATTTAACCTGAAATATTGATAGAAAATTTATACCACTAAATTGTTTAGGAAAAAAAGTATGAAACATAAAGATAACATTCATATACAAAAATAAAGTTTAATCGAATTTAATAAAAAATAATACAAAACCTTACAACAAATGCATAAAATTTTGCGTTGCTTACAAAAATTGAAAGTCGTAATCCTTAATTATTTACACTTTTAATACCCTTCAAAACATGCTTTTAACAATGTTACAATTAGACATTATCGTAAAAGTGTATATTCTAATACTTTCAGAAATATTTATATTTTTGATACACTTTTCATTAAAGAAACGAGCAACTACAAGAAATACACATATCTTCACGTTTTGGTGACGCTGAATGACCATAAATAACAAAAAAGATAAAAGATATGCATCATATACATTTTATTCGTAAATATCATTATGTTGTCAAATAAACAAAATATTACATATTCTTACAGTTGAATGCAATTATATTTATTTAAACACTTAGTTGCTATATATAAAATGATATAAAAAATAGTAAATATTCATTCAATGAGAGAACGGTTTCATCATCCAACGAATTTTAATATAATCTGCGCATGTCAGCTGTACTTGGTCTAGCGTGATCCGTAACTAAGAGCAACGGGCATGCGTTTTAGTGATTCTTGTGACGCCAAACGTACATACCTAGCGATCTTTTATTTTGAAATTTAGAAATTTTATAAAATTTAGAGTTTGTTTAGACATTAATAAATTTGGAAATTTAACAATTTGGAAATCCAAGATTTTGAAAGCTGATGCCACATTATTAAGTTTGTTTTACATTATCTTTTCTCCACGTTCACATATTTTTGTCCACCATGTATATTGCCGGCGGACTAAGAAGTGCATAATAGTGAAACGATTTTACTTGGTGGGGAACTTACTGAAGTTAGTTGGATTGCGCAAACTGTGCACGATTTATTATTTCAGCAAATAATAAAGATAATGCGTCTCTTCCCAAATAATATTAATATCATTAACTTAGAAAAAGTATTTAATATTAACTTGCTATGTGTAAACAATATTACATAATTTCAAAAGAAAAAGCTTTACGAGCATATGACTTTCCCATCTAGCAATACTTTTTGATCGAAGCGACGCAAAGAGCCCTCTGCAAGTACTAAATGATAAGAAATTAAATATGGCTGATGTTTTGTTTGTGTGTAATGATTATGTTATACGTGTATTATTACTTTGTTTAATTAACTTTCTTGTATAATTATATATATATGTATATGTATATATGGAGGTGTGTGTGTGTGTGCATGATTGTATGTATGTATATATATACATATATGTATATATATATATTGCCCGTGAAAAACTTAAAAAAAAATGAATGCCACGAGCCTTTATGTATCAACGTGTCGATTAGTTTTACAAGCGGATGCTGATGATCCAAACTCGTGGACAGATTTATACAGGCTAGTTCCATACTTACGGCAAAGCCTGAGTTGTACTGTGTGCTCAAATTTATTAATCGAACCTCATACACCGACGGAAACTAATTGTCAACATCATGTGTGTCGTGGCTGTAGAGGTGGACGTAAAAAGCTTAAACCTTCGTGTGGTTGGTGCAAGGATTATGACAAATATGTCGAAAATGTTCAATTACGAATACTGTTACAGTGTTATAAGAAACTATGTGAATATTTGACGAACACAAACATCTATCGAAGTTTGATACTTTCAGTGTCGTCTAACAAAACAGGTAATGGTTCATCAGCAATCGGTGCTACGAGCCTTATGGAACTTATACAAGAAGGTTCGGGCTTCAAAGATGAATTTAAGAGTACCGCTGGTCTATCAAAATCTGCGTATAGCATTTTACCGTGTGTTTATACAAGTACTACCTCAACCCAAACGCAAGGAAATACTATGCAAAGTTCTGAAGCAATATCGCAAAGTTTACCTGGTATAGTATAATATCATTTTCTTATATTATATTATCTTTCTTAAGTAAATAAATGAATTTTCATTGTAAAGAAACTACTGTAACCTCCTTCACGATTGATAATGAAAGAGTGAAGTCAAATAGTCATAATAAGTGATCACAATTTTAAGAGTTAGTCTTAAAAAACGAACCAAAAAAAAAGTAAACAAATGTATGGCATAGTAGTATCAATTAACATAGCAGTCATTTAGGTTCAGGTATCTTTGTACTATGCTCTGTGTTATTGTATGCATATACATGATTCTGAGCTATGACTATGTTAGTTGATATTTGTTTGTTTTCAAATCCTTATGTTAGTCGCTCATTTTTTGAGATTGATTCCCAGAGCTGCTGCTACTACTTTTAATTCTTTTAACATTCAGTCTATAGGGATTAATTTACTCTATATTCATATGTCTTCATATCCACACATAGATCATAATTCATATATATATATCAGACATATGTTATTTTTATGGACATATAAATAGGGTATATGTTGTTGATTTAGTAAGATAGCAAGAGTATTAATTTTATCTTCAGGAGTAATTTAAATTTCTAAACGTGTTCATCAAAGTCATTCATTTTTTATTTACCAATTGTCACTTGATATACATTAAGGATATTTTTTCGATGTAACTGATATGTATTAAACAAATTATGAGCCTAAAGAGAATGTCAACAGAATTGAAATATTACATAAAAAATGATTAGTTATCTTCCATTAACTCACTAATATCAAATAGATTTGTTAATAACAAGCACAGAATTTTCATATTTAATATAAATTACTTCTCGTTAATATTATTTATTATTTTTATATCTTAGTATTTGGTTATAAATTTAATAAAATGAATTATTGTGATCAAAAGTATTTTATAAATGCCTATAAAAGATATGTACAAATAATACAGGCAGTTGCCAATGTTTAGAGAGAAAATGTTTCACCTGGGACTAAAGTTTGGTCCAATGTTAATAAACCTTGTGTATATTTTTATGTTTATAACATTTTATTCGATAAAATATATTTATTTATTACATAGAATCACCTGCTATACGTACTGTATCGAATGGATCTTCAATATATTCTGTGATGTATGCTGGTTCTGGTAACAAAATAACTATAAAACGGAAAGCAGCTGCTGCAGATGATGCAGACATTGGGCAACGGGATACGGATGGAAATCCACACAGCTCTGTAGGAGGGGTAAAATGTATTCCATCTACCCACTTTAAATATGGGACCCCCTCTCAGAAAAGATCTTCAAAGGGCAGCAAAGTAATTTCAATAGATATTCGGTTAATTTTGTGCCTTACAGGAAGTTCGCGTTCTGCTATATATAATTTTTATTTAAATGCTAAATGATGTGCATCCTCGTTAATATTACTTGTAAGGTACAATCATATTTTTAGATTTGTATAACAATTAACAATTTATAGTGGCTTATATTGATTAACAATGTTTAATAGCTTTTGTTACTAACACTAGATTTAAATAAATTTGAACATGTATTTTGCTAGGTCCCATAATGAGATTAATGCAGATAACAATATTACATTTAGTTATGTAATAATTCATAATATGTTTTTATGAAGTGTTTGTTTATGTCTGCATTAATCTATAATCTTTACTTTTTTCGCTTTCATAATAAGTAAAATTAAAATAATGTATTCTGTTCCAAACAGTCCTCAGGCTTTAAAAAGCCAAGATCAAGTTCTGCACGGAGTAAAAGAAAAGGATGCAGATGTGGCAATGCTACAGCAATACCTGGAAAATTAACATGTTGTGGTCAACGTTGTCCTTGTTACGTTGAAAGTAAACCTTGTGTCGAATGTAGATGCAGAGGTTGTAGAAATCCTCATACAGCGGATGGATTAAAGGTAGCATTTATGCAATGAAATAATTATTTTAAGTAAACTTGATTTTTGTAAAATATTTAACATTATGTTATAGATCCGACCACACATACCTGAGTTACATAATTTACAGTTACAATTATCAACTTCTTTGGATTGTGATACATTACATTCAGATCCTTTAGGATCGGTACCGCAATGTCTTTCAACTTCTCCAACAACAATTCAAGTATTAAATGTCTATTCAACTCCCAGATTAGATATTGATAATGTACCGCAAAATCTGCCTGCAGCCTTGTTAGTGGGAGAAGATGCTATGATTAGTACTGAAAGCGAAGCTGAAGACAGTGACATACAAATCGATGTGTGATAATTCATGTGACATTGTCAAATGTCACGTTCAATATAATAAGGTATGTAATACAGATAAATATAAAATGAATTATATCAAATCTACTAAATTATATTTTTAAAATTTCAGAATAATCTATTTACCAATAAAAAGATTATGGTTTTAACCTACAGTTATAATAAAAAAATAATAAATATATTTTTATCACTCGTAAATTATTTGTATCGCAACATTTTAGAAAGTTTAAAAAGTTAAGTTTCTTGTAAGTATGAATAAATTCATTTCCACCGTAGAACTAAAATATTCTGTCCTCGTTTTTTAATTAGTAACATAGTTTGTAATTCGTTGCATTCTTTTGCAATTTACTACTGTTTCATATTGAATTCTAGTTGTTATTACTCTATGTTTATGTAAAACATATATTATGTTTTTTAAATATTTGTATTATGTAGTGCATCATATTGTTGCATAAAAAATATTCTTGTACCATAATAAAAAAGGGCGCATTCAAAATGATAGTACAACCAAAAATTATATTCCATACAATTTTTTTTTTGAGCAGTTTGGTTTTCAAGAAAATAGATTGGAAAAAACTAATGATTGGATTTATACTTTTAACAGAGTTTCCCATGTTTTGTGCCAGTAATATTACCATCTAGTATACCAAACTTCACATGGCCAATGTACTATCATTGCAATGTAACCCCAACATGCGATTGCTCCTTATGGAGCGTGATTTAAAATAATTATTTGATAGGGCATTGAAAAAATGTGAAATAAAGTTTTTTGTTTCAACCTTCGTTTATTGACTAAACCTGAGCATAACGAAACATAGCTTGTAAATGTTATTTTTGTATACTTGACAATTTGTCTTGGTGGACAGTGACTAAATTTTGATAACATAAAACTGGCATGTAAGTAGCTACACCAAGGTGATGGTATTGTACATGTTGTTAAGTAAACAAATCAAGTATAATTGTAATTAAGATTGACTTAACATTAAGAGATGCTATTTTTTAAATCCCTGTAAGATGTGGATTGTGTACATTTTTGACGACAACTAGTTAGGATATACCATATAGGTACATTTATCATTGTTGTTAACTTTCATAATAGTAGTACCCGTTTATTAGGTTCATTTTTGTAAGTAGCAAAAACAAGTTATGGTCATTTTCTTGAGTTTTACTATTTATAGAAATTAAATAAATAATTGTATCTGGAAATACAGAAGTCATTAGATCTGGTAATAGAAATCATTGCAACAGACTCAAAATCACCTATGAATCCTATACAATCGAAAAATGTTTGTAATTAAAAATATAGTAAAATGAAAGTTATTTTATTGTTCTTTTTACAAACGATAACAAAATTTGAAATAAACATTATTCCTATTTTTTTTATATTATACAAAAACGGTTTTCCAGATGAATTCAACAACCGCAAGAATCTAAAGTTTAAACAAAATAATTCAAAAAATACCACACTGAGTCGGTAGATTGATGAAGAGCCTGCATAATGTCGGTGATGTGTAAAACTTGCTTCAACTCGTGGAACGAGGGCAACGCTAGCAGAAGAACTGATAATAAATGGTAAGATAAAAGCGCAAAAAGTATATATATTGCCCTACATTTTATTTAGTTGCTCCCAATAAAATTGTCTTTAAATAGTACTATACTCTGGAACATCGTGGTGGCTTCGTTCATTTGGTGGATGAACAAGTAGTGCAATTTCTCCTTAGTTGAAAACAGAATGTCCTTCATCGAAGAAGTGAATCCATTCTGTATATTACTCAAAGAAGATGAATTTGATGGCTGACGGGTGATAGCACTCCAGGTCTAGGTAGGTAAATTATTTTTATATTAGGTCATTTCAAAAGTTTAGGAAATGACCTGACAATTTTCTTTTCTCATATAATTGTAATCAGATATTGATATTCATAAATAAGTGATGGATATTGTGGATTATATATATAGAATTATGTAGTATGTTAAAAGAAATTGATTTAGGACGTTAAAAGAACAGATGGTGGATTAAAAAAGTTTTAATAAATGTAAATTGAAAGATTAATCATTGGATTTATAATTATGCTCTGAATGCTTTTTAATATTCTGTGTATCACAAATATTCAAGCTTACCATGAATTTTTACATATATTTATAATTTTTAAATAAACACAGTTTTAATTTATGTGTTGAAATGTTTAAACTGTTAAATAAAATCATTTTTCTTTAACCCGTAATAGTTACAATATAACAAAATTATTGTTAGATTAAAAATTAATAATTTACATTTTGTTTATTGATTACAGTTGTCAGTGAAATCTGCTATGAAGAATTTTACTCAACACGACATGATTCGTAACGCGGAAATATAGTTCGATTCTTTTCCCCACAAACGTGCAATGGGGAAAATTGAATGAAAGCACGGACTTTCATTACTGTGAACACAACGCCTTTACAACTCGTACAAGAAGTAGATACACGATGAAATTCGACGTATAACATGTTCAAACAGCGTTATGTATTTGTGCACCGAAAACATGCCCCGAAATTAAATAAATGGAACTTCATTAAAAATACTGCTAATAATTTAAAATCTTATTATATATATATATATATATCAATGTAATTCTACATCTCATTTTAATGCTGTTTTATTGCGCACTTTACATTTCAGAAAGGTGATTCAAGGAACTACATCAGAACGTAAGTTAATGTTTTTTATAATTGAAGTTTATATTTATAGCGCAAGTGCTGTAACGATCTAGTATGTAAACAAAATATAAAAGGTTATAATTTATTATAAAATAATTAATTTAAAAAGTTGAAAGCATTTTAGAATTCAAACTTATTGCAAAATACATATTTTCACGCGGGCTTTTTGAAAATGGAGCAGATGACGCCATCTAGCGATCAAATGCGAAGTTAACGAAACAAGAATTGTTCGCAGGAGAGACAGCGCCATTTGAGAGAGACTTGTTCCATTTAGGTAAAAATTCAATTAATACTGATTTTATTGCCTTAATTGACTATAATATGCATTAAATTGCATCGAAGTGCAAGACTAATTAGCTTCAAAATGTTTTGATTTTACCAAACAATTATCGATTGGCTTTTCGTCGGAAGACATTTCATTGTTATGCCCTATATTACCGACAAGACACAGTATTGTCACAGAGTAAACCAGAGGCAACACTCTGTCGGTACCTTCGATCTCTGGAAAACACTGTACGTTTAAATTGGTTGCACAAACGAGCGGGAAATTTAAATCAAACAAATCGCACATGTCTTCCGTCCAAAACACTTGCATGAAAGAAAATTTTGTGGAATAAATAGAATTATAATTTAATAGTAAATCGGAGCTCTTAGCTCGATATCGTTTTCTAAAGTTCATTTTATGAAACATATTTAGAAAACGATATCGATTACCAGGCCACACCACGTGGAGGTGGCGACGACGGTGACCCATCCTAACTCCAAATCTCTACCACCCTCCAATTGCAACTACCTTATTTATCGGAAGAATAAATGAGTACTGACTCTACTTAGCCCGTTGGCTCGCAAAAATATACAAGTTCTTTACCATTGTATCGCACGCACGCATGCTGTACATCTTAAAATTTAATACGCTCTTCATGGGATTCCACGCTCACACTCTTATTAACATACTTATTCTAAACGCACGCGTACCTCTCATTCTAAGATTGCATTCATATGAACTATAACGACGTAAAAAAAGCAAGGGGAAGGGAAGAAAGTTAGAAGAACTTTCTACTAAAAGAAAAGAAAGTTAAAAGGACTTTCTACTAAAAGGTGGATCAGTATTTTTCGCCAAGTGAACCTCGCCTTCATGGGTCAAAGGGTAGTCGCATAATAGCTTACGTGAACCACGAGATAGAGATGAACCGAAAATACTGGCAAGAACGAGTGACACATCTGCGGAGGGTTTCTCATTTCTCCTCGTTTACGTTTGAAGTAAGGCTGACCACAGAGAGGAAACCCACACCGTGAGGCGGCAGATCGAGATGGTACATCAATTGATCGGCCCCGCAGAGATGTGTCCCTGGCACTACACCAGCACTTGCAGCTTACCTCTGCCGCGTGTTCACAGCGCTATGAACCCCCAATGATCCGCTTGGGTTCGGAACGATTGACAAAAAATAGCTGGGTATACTACAAGCTAACGCGTACAAAGATTGAGAATTGCAAAGATGAGTGCAAGTTAGAATGAGAGGCACTTACAGGGACCCGACCCATCCGCCCGTCCGCCCACGAGCACACTTTACTTAAAACTAACGCACGCATAAAATTAACTTAAAACTAACGCACGCATCCCTCGATGATACCTCGATGATTGATGTCTTCAATCTTCGCGTATACGCATTACACACATGCATTCATCCATACTACAATGTTTTACAATATTTTGCGCAACTTAAAATTAACGCACGCATAGGTGAAATCCCGCGGTGGTAGTCTTGGATTACCTATGCTGTAATAGATAGAAATATGCGAAAGGAGAAAACAGATACAAAATTAGTACATTTTCGGTAAAAATGAAATACAATTCGAGTCGACTCGAGGAAAACATTCAAATGAAATAAGAACATATTCGCGAAGAATTCAATAACTTAATTAAAATAAAAATCTGAAATAGATAAATATTACAAATATCAGAAATATAAATTATTTCATTAATTAAATAAAATCAAAACCTAAAACATATAAATGTAATTAAAACACATATGAATTACTAACATAAAATAAAAATCTGGAACAGAGAAAAGTAATTAAGAGAGAAATGAAACATTAAAAATTACTTACTTGAAATTAAAACCTGAAACAGACAAAACTAATTAAGACAAAAATGAAAGATTTCATTACTTACATAAAATAAAAATCTGAAACAGACAAAAGTAATTAAAGACAAAAATGAAAGCTTAAAAATTACTTACTTGAAATTAAAACCTGAAGCAGACAAAACTAATTAAGAGAAAAGTGAATGATTTCATTACTTACATAAAATAAAAATCTGAAACAGATCAAAATTTTATTAACATAGGAAAATGTGGGAGAGGAAGCAACATTTTTCTTTATTTCATACAAGAATTTCGAAAAATACAAAACGCAATGAAAATTGCGGATTTGAGAAGACAACATAACTTAACAAAGAAGAAATACTGCAACAGACAAAAATTTATTAACATAGAAATCTGAGAAGAGGGAGCAGTGTAAGAACTTACCAAAAATAAAATACTGAAACAGATAAAAATTTATTAACATAGAAATTTGAGAAGAGAGAACAATGTAAGAACTTACCAAAAATTAAATTCTGAAACAAATCAAGAACCGAATTTGTTAATATTGTTGATTTTATTAGCTTCATTGGCTATAATATGAATTGAATTACATCGGAGTGCAAGACCAATTAAATTCGAATTGTTTTGACTTTATCAAACTACATATTATCAATTTCGTAATTGCTAATATTTAGGATTAGTGATATTAATCCTAATTAGTCTAAGGGTTTTTGTTGTGATTATCAGAGCCGCCGGTCAAAAAAAGTTCTATTTGTAATTCTGAACAAATGATCAATGTTTAAAAGAATTATCGTTTGATCGTATTGAATTTCATTTAAAAAACAAAATTGTTTACTATTCACTCCGTAATTAAACCTTTATTCAAGAGCATGTATTTAAATTAAAATCAGAATATTCAGGCTGTTAATTAATTGATTATAAATATAGGAAGATGATTTCTATATTTTTATAGAGAGTGTTTTCTATATTTAAAATTAGTCAATAAATTATAACTTCCAAAAATAACTGATTTATTGATATTGATTCTGAAATGTGTGTTGCTGAATTTAGATTTGATTATGGAATGAATAACGAACGTTTTTCTTTTAAAAATACAATTGAACATAAATAAAATTGAATGTCAATTACAAATAAAAAACTTCTTTATCGACGGCTTGAAAATAGAATTCCTCTTGATCGACGATGACTCTGATGATCACCACATTTTTGTCTTATGTGTCTCCATCTAGCGGTGAAAAATGAGAACTAATTAAACTCCAGTTTTAAAAGTGTGTAGTTCACTCTGTTCACCGGAGAGATGACGCCACTTGTTCCATTTTCATTAAAAGTCAATTAATATTGATTTTATTGATTAATATGTCAAATAATTATTACATATTTACTAATATTGATTTTACATTGTTTGTAATATATTCCGTGGGTCCTAAGATGCGTATTATGTGTTCAGAACAGATTGCACACTATAGTGTCTCTGGTCGATGATATAGGGAATGACGTAAGAATGGCAAAAAATTTTCTTTCGTCGCCAAAAACTATTCTCAAAAATATCTTCTTTTGCAAAAAAGAGTTTATTCACAAAATTTGGTCAATATCGGTGCATGGTTTTCTGAAATTTCACCAAGAATTATATTATCTTATGAAATATTGACATTTTTTATTTATTAGACAGTAGAATACTTCAAAATACAATACTAAATGGGTCTGGAATATTTTGAATCTGCCACTATATATAAAACAATAAAAAATATATATAATTATCTTTAAAATTTATTTTCATTAGTTCTTAACTTTCATCACTAGGTAAGCATTTCAATTCAAGGAATGTAAAATGCAGTTGTTTAAATTTTTGAATATAATGTTTCCAACCTGTCGTTGTTAAAATATTTTTCTGATCATATTATATACATAAATCAATTTACAAGAATTGATAAAATGTAAAAACGTTTTATTTTAGGAAAAATCGCAATTTCTTGTTTTTATAGTTTCAAACTTTGCCACCAGATAGCGCTAGTAGGTCCATTTGCAGACAACGTGTTCGAAAATATAAATTTCAAAATGTATGGTTGAGGCTACCGCAATGTTTTCAGCATTTTAAATTAATTACTTTACAAGGAACTATTGTCATTTATATTTTCTTTAGATATTAAATCGTCACGATAAATTCCTTCTGAACACAGTTTTAACATAAAATTCAATAAAGACGTTAATTTATATTCTAATGTTTCTAGAATCACCTTTCTGAAATTACAGTATGTCATATTAGATTATACCGTATAATGGCAGCAGCAAGAAAGATTTTATGAATCATTCTTGTTTAAACAAAAGAAGTAAAATTTAGTCGGGCAATAGAAGATATATGGTATTTGTTACACAATTATAGAAGCCTTTGACAAAAGGAGCGTAAAATTGACTTTTGCTGTAGAAAGCGATTTTACATTAATTTCGATGTTTGTCACTAAACGGCGCCAGCGGTATAATTTTGAAATATCTACTGCTACTAACACCAGTTGTAGAAATTATAGTTCTTATAATTTGACGTTTTGCTTCTTAATCACTACGTGGCTAAACATATAAGTTAAAATGTTCAGCCTCAAGCCGTTTCAGATCTCGAAACTGTTTCACTTATTTTTTATGCTATTTTTAGAAATAGTGCTGTGTTCTTTAAGATTCTTCCGCATTTAAGATCCTCAAAGTACTCGATCACGTTTTAACAAATCCGTGATCACAAGAAATCGACAAACATCTTTTTTTAGCTATTATCCAATTGCCCTAACAAATTGTATTTACAAAACGTCTCAGATACATAGCTTATATAATACAATGCGCAACTGTTGGCGAGAAATACAAGTTTATTACGGAAACATAGTAGAAATACACGCTGTTCGCCGTATATCACTTTCGGAGACCTTGAACAATTCTACATCTACCGAACAAGCATAACTTGCATAACGATTAAATAAACGAACACCTATCCGTTCGTTCCAGGATCTACAGCACAGCTCGATCAATCATTCCTCCCGAACAGTCGGAGTAGCCGAAGCGAGTAGCCAAAATTACGAATAAGCCACGCGTCATGATCAAAGATTTCGATCGAACCGTCAGACGGTCGCGAGCATCTGGATGGCTCCCAAAGGTTGCATACCAGACTTTAGCGCGAATCCGGGCCGCGAGTGTCCGTCCGCGGAGCGATAACCTTCGCGGAGTCTGAGCGTGTCGTGGGCGAGCTGGTGAAGAGTCGTACATTATTTTCGAGCTGTCCGTGGAATCGGTTGGTTCGAACGGCAATGTTTTCGGCTCGGAATTGCGCAACGTGTCGGCGGGGGACAGCATGGCGCTCGAGGAAGCTGCGATTCCTCTGCGATGCGCAAGCGCGGTCGGGGCTCGATCGGGCCGCCGTGTCGCGGCTGCTTCCGAAATGTTGATGCTAAATAAAACTCCTAGCTGCTTGGGACGATGCCATGCGTTCTAATTTTCACGAAGGCACGGCCGCTCGTGGACGTGGTGGCCCGGGGTCTGCCGCGTCGTTGGAGGCGGACGCGATAGTCTTCGCAGGCTGTCCGGCTGTTACCTGTTCCCTTCGTCGAGGAGAGGGAAAAAAGTTTCCGAGCAGCATCTCCATCGAGGACAACCTTCGGGAAAATCGGTAGGCCGTTTTTGCTGAACGTGATCGGACATCGGTCGCTGGCGCTGCTGATCGTGGCAGCCGACTAACC